AAGTTGTCTGCCTGCATATCTACACTGCATTTTGTGATGAAATGAAATTCTTCTCAACTCGCTTAGTGCCAACAATTCTTGAGGATAGGCAAACATTAACGATCCTTCGTTATTTTTTATGGTCAATTCTTTTTCTCTCTCATATAATACGGTCTACCAAAAATTCGATAATTATGCGTTACGATTGAAAGAAATGAGAAGAATGAAAGAAAATAAAGAAGAATCTTAACAATGGGTATAGGGGATGAAAGTTTTATTTCATTTTATTTTCTGTATTCAAGATCTATTCTTAGAGATGTCGAAATGAATTTTAAAAAAAACTATAAAAGAAGAAGAAGGTCAAGATAAGGCAGCCTCTGTATTAGAAATAATTTGATGAGTTGATAGAATATCTATTTTTAAATAAGTTGAAAAAGAACCTTCTAATTGGATCTATCGACGATTTTAAATTAACGATCATTTTTCTTCCGCTCCAATCTTATCGATTTTACATAATTTTGTTTTAAAATATTTCCTAGTTTTTTAAAAGCTGTATTAATTTGTTTCCTTATGACTCATTCTTAAACCCACAATTACAAAGAGAATTCTTTAGATCCAATGTTTGTGTGACAATCACAAGATAAGCTAATTGAAATCAAGTCCTCATATAGTAAATATGAGTTTTAAGTCCCCTATTGATTTTTTTGTAGCTTTAATGAATCTTCTTGGTTTGCGTAGATTTACACTTGCTGGGCTCACGTGGGATAGATACCTATATACATACGGAATGTTAAAGATTGGCTAAATCATTCAAAACTTTTATCTTGTTCTGTATATCCAAAACTGTTGCAATCTTGTGCATACAACTAAAGAATTCAAGAATTATTGATGACAGTATTAATGTTGATGATTTTTTTCAACGAGAAAGTACTCCAGCTTTAAGGAAGTTAAGTATTTACTCAATTTCTATGACTACGTATCTAGATTAGAACTTTAGATTGGTTTGGTTTTTTTAAAAATTAATCTTTTTGATTCTTATTGGATAAGTTCTTAAAAATGATTTTATCATTTTTATATGATTTTATATATTTTTCATTATACATTTCTTCCGATGTGCTTACTCAGCATGTAATTAGTTTTAAAAATCTGCGCAACTATTCAGGTACGAAATTTTAAGATGAAATTTAATTAATTTATATTGCTTACTTACTTCCTTGGCTGAGGCACACGTGGGTCCATTACCGCGCTTAAAGATCGTCTGAAGACAGCTCTATCCTTAGAAACCTTCTGCCAGTTCGAAATATTAAGGAATCTAGCGTCCTTCTCAACACATCCAATTCACGAGATCTTCGGTCTTCCTCGTAATCTCTTGCCATCCATAAAGTCTGCTACTGTCACCTTTTGTACTGGGGCATCTTGTGAGTGTCTGAACACATATCCAGCCCATATCAAGCGATTTACACGGACTACTGTAGCAATTTCAGCTTAATCAATTAATTTATATTCATACATTTAAATAAATCTTCATCTTTTTTTAAGGATGCTTACTGTACATCGGGAATTTGAATGCACAGTAGGAGAGAAGCTTTTTACATTTAATGCTTTAATAATACACGACGCATGTCAACAATTTTTTTTCATCAGAGAAGATTAATGCTTCTTGCACGTGAGAATTACTGTGAACACAAAAATGGTTTCAAAGGAAAAGATTCTTGGAAAGTAGAAATAAATAATGGACATTAAAATATAGTAATGTGTAAATGCAAAAAGAATCTATATAAAAAATATTGTTTGTCCCTTTTATGTCATTCCCATTTTTCCTTATCTTTCGATCTCTTGTCATCTTTTTTTACAAAGTTTCGTGTCAACATAAAAGTAAAGATTCTTTAGCTCTTTCTTATCTCACGTATCTGATCAAATACTTTGTGTACTTACATACGATTTTTGGGTCTTACAGGATTTGTAAAATGTAAATATTTGAAAAATATTTTCAAGTCTTTTCTAAGGATAATAAGGCATTTTGACAAGAGAATAATGGATGTGTATTCATCCTAATGTTGAATTTGTTAGCAAATATTGGTTCTTCTTTTCCATTATAATCACTTCTCATTCTACAAATATGTCTCGGAATGAGTTTTTCGGTTAAGCCTTATAGTGCCACAAAAAATTATGTGGCATAAAAAGTGTCAGTTATTTGAAGGGTTTCTTATGTTATGAATGTTTTTATTAAGAATGACAAGAATGTTTTATGAATATGAAATACGAGACATTATGCTTCAAATTTCAATTGATCAGAGGAATGCAGCACAAGTTCAGTTTTCACGATTCTTTTTTTTATATCCAAAATGAACTAAACTTAAATGTTTATCCTTAAAAATAAAACATTTAAATATATCCACATGCAAGAAGTGCTAATTCAGTAGAAGAAAATGCTACGATAATCGTTGATTGCTTCCAACTTGAACATTCCGCTAATTTGCATTGCAGAGGTAACCATTTAATGATTCTCATTCGAGCAAGCATACAAAATTATATTCATGGCACTTAAGAAGCATATAATTTGCCACTAAAAGCGCAACAGAAGCTTTGCATGCAAATGAAGGAGAACATCAAAAATCTGCTACCAACATTAATGGCATTCGAGGCTAATTTGAATAATTTTAGTTGTTTCTTTTTTTCATCGTTCATTTCTTTTTATTTATCAAGATAAATAAACTAAAATGACTAGATGGAATTGTATAGCACACGTGTTAATGCAGACAGTAAGCAGGAACGGTAGAGAGTTAGATGCCAGATAGAATACATAATTGATCATCAATTTTGAATAACAGAAAGAAGCCTTACAAACCGACCGTGTATAAACCATATTTTATATGAAGCATAGAGGACTGTGAAGATATGGATAAAATAAACAAAATATGAAGTTTGTTTTTACTGAAAATGGAGAGTAAAGATCTACACGAAGAAGACGAACAAAGTTGATAGTTTTATGAGTTTAAAAAAAAAAACAAGGGATAAAACTAATAAAATTTAAAGAAAAATGGTAGGAATATCTTTAAGAAGGGTAGAAAGAAGAGTATTAAATTTCACATGACTACATGCATCCATAGAAGATCACTTGCTGAGCTAAATATTTTGAGGATTTTTAGGATAATTTATGGAAATATTTTTATGACCTTATCCGATTACAAGTTCATCCCTCATGTGTTTCATGACTAGGTGGAAACATAAAATCATGTCAGTGTGGCAAGTTCACAAGTTAACAGATAAAGATGCTTATTAAATTATCACGAATTAATCTAATGAATTTCTAATTGTTCATGTAAATACGATACAAGAAAATGCTTGAAAAATCACGATAGAAATCTAGTCGAGACATGCTCGCACAAGATAGAAGTGAGGCTTTTGTGTCTACAAAATTTATTTCTATTTTCTTTACAAATCTTTAAAAAAGGAGCTAAAATCGTTTCTTTTATTCTATTTGATTTTCTTTCAAATAGCAAAGATTTAGGGGCTGCTAATTTTCAAGCCTACAAACGAAGATTTCTTTGTGTCCAATTTCTATTTTTTTCTGACTGACTATACTCGATTTTTGTCTTGTATGCAGTAAAACTTCAATTTTATATGCGCTTTGCTTTATATTTCTTCATAGAGTTTCGTGCTTCTTGTCTATTTTGTTTCTTCCACTGGAGCCATAGCGTATAAATTTTTTTAACAGAAATGAAACAATTTTTTTAACAATATAAATTGTCTGACTTTCCATTTTATCTAGATCCAATAAAGTCTGGAAAAATCGTTTCGATACGCAAATTTGTTCATGTAGAATATTTTCAAAATTGTTGCAAATTAAAAAGAATTTTATAGCCTCATATTATATTTATATTTAATTGGTGTTGCTTTGGAATAATAATAAAAAATGATTTAATGAACTTTTTGATATAATTTTAGAAGGCTTTAAAAGCTGTAGGATATTCTCTCAAGAATCCTAAAAAAAAAGAAAAATAAATTCGTTGAAATAGATTTTGAGCCCCAATCCCACCTCTTTCATGCACTTATTAATAATAAAAATTATTGTGTGAAGGGTCCAGCTTTCCAGCTTGAGGCAATGCGATTCAATTTGTAAAGAATCTATTGTAACACACCCTCAAGACTTATAGTTTATAGTGGGATCTGAACCACTTGCAAGATGTGCACATTGTAAAGACACGAGTACGTCATAAGACCTGATGTACCCTGAAATGTTAATGGTCACAATTCGTGTTCGCAAGATGCCGTAAAGAAGTCTTCCCAATGATAGTAAATCCTTGCATACCTAGCAAAGGAGGCATATTCTGTGCCAAGAACGGTGAACGGTGAAATAGAAAAAGAGCTTCAATAAGAGCTCTACCATTTAGTTCACTGATGCCACTCCACCACATTGATGCACTTACTTACGACAACAATCCAGCAAAGTTTGAGACTCTCTAATCGTCGCTTGTGTTTGAATCCATTAAAATATATAAATTTATGCTTTATTTGTCGTAATTCATTACACATGACAATATAAAAGTCTTAAATGTCTGTAAATGCCTTGAAAAAAATCTGTTTATAAGTTCATAAATAAACCCTAAATTCTAGAATATATTAATTGAAGAGAAGCGTGCAATACTTTAAATAAAAAGGGATGCATAGCCAAAAAGAGCGTTTCTGGAAATCATTCGCAACACATTAAAAATTAAAATGCTTCCAACTTGTTGATTCTAATGTGGGCTAAAAGAGAAAAAAATATTATTTACACAACAAAAAACGGCCAGACATGAAGAGAGAGAGAGAGAGAATCAAATAAACATTCAGAGATAAATGGAGATGATGAAGGACGAAATGAAGAAGTATAGGGAAAAAGAAGTAAATCAAAGCAGAACAGAAATTAAAAGATGAGAGAGAAAAATCTCAGAGAGAGAATATTGCTTCAGGACCAAACAGAACACAATTTTAAGTATAAAATGCAAAGCAGAATCAAGAAGAAATTTAGAACGAAACAAGTTTTTGAAACGTTAAGACGTGCCATAAAAAAAGATTAATACTTTAAAAAAAATTATTTTCATATTTCCGAGTAAAAAAATAAATAGTGATCAGTAAAGATGTCTGTCTACTCAAGTGATTACAGCATGTCGAGCATTAATAGTATCAATGAAAACATCTACAATACACAAAAACAACAGAAATCACCAAAATATCGATTGAGAAAAATTTTCAAGCCAATTTTGAAGATGCTTTTGCAAAGAAAGAAGAAAGTCTGTGAATTCAAAAAATCAGCCATTAACGACTACGATTATTCAACAGAGATTTGTGATAATGCCTCAAACGAAACCTTGGAGACTCGCATTTTTGACGAAATTAAAGATAGCAATAATAACTCTGCAATCTATGTCTTTGGTCAAGAAGAGGATTACTTAATGAAAGTTGATAAACAGCAGTCGTTTGTTCCAGTACATTTTGCAAGAACAGAGACGGGAACTTTCTTTTGGACATCATTCAATGATCAAGGTTATTGTCACCAAGAAAATTTACCTCAACATCAGTTTCATAGATTTGATAGATGGGTTCAAGCATAGATTGTAAGCTTAAAAATTTTAAGGAATTAATTTTAGAGCTAGATATTAAGGAATTGTAAAACTTTATGTATAGAAAATTTTGTCTTCCACTTAAATTTAATTTCTAAGATACTGAAAAATTATTTTTCAAAGCAAAAATTGTGAAATAGCTATAACATGTCTTCCAGAGCCATACAGAATAGTATAATTTAGAATTTTTAAGAGAAAATTGATGAAAATGTGATAATTATTTTGTAAGGGACGGGAAAAAGGCTTTAATAGATGTTAAGAATCAATGTCTTCCACTTAGATTTTAAGATTGAATATTTGTTAATGAAAATTAAACTAAAATAAAACAAAAGATAAGAAAACAAAGAAATTTTTGTGACTTGTTCATTTTTCCAAGAATTTTCAGCTATTGACGAACCAACAAAGAGAAAAAAATAACAGAAAAAGGATCAAAGGATCAAGTTGGAGTCGTAAAAATATTTATGAGGAAGCCAACATTATTCACAAAAAATATCTTTAACGGACGAAATGTTTGCGGGAGATCTATGGTCCTTTTTTCTGAAGTTATTTATTCAATGTCAGAGAAAAGAAAATAGGAACTATTAGTAGAAATAGAAGTTCGTTAAAAAAGCAGGTAGAATTTTTACACTTCTCTAGAAAAGGACCTCCAATTTTTAATTTTTTTCTATCAATTCCAAACAATGAAATGCATTTTTGGATATATTTTTTAAATGAAACTCAAATATCTTCTTTATGGGATTCTTCTTTGAATCACTTCTTTTCTTCCTTGCAGTTCTTAATATTGAATAAGATTCTGTCTTCTTATTATGTTTTAAGGGCATAAAATACAAAAGTTCTACACTCATAAAAAAAAATTGATAAATTTTATTAAAAATGTATGAAAAAGTTTAATAAAAGTTTATAAAAATACATCTTGATAACTTTTACTAAAATTTGATAAGGGTTATTAAAAGTTTTGGTTTTACAAAATTGCATTCAAATTTTACAAAACTGTTAAAATTTTAATAATTTTCTTACTAAACTTTAGTAAAAAGTTATTAAGATGTATTTTTATAATTTTTATTGAATTTGTTCATGGATTTTAGTAAAAAGTCATTAAAATTTCTTGGATTATTTTTTTTACAAAAACAGCTTTATAGTATAATTAATTTATAGTATGGAGCTTTTTCAAGTCTTAACTAAAATGCTTTCTCAAAGCTTAAGACTTTGCATGATTTTTGGCACTTAATGTGCCTCATAAGAAACTTATAATTTTATATGACTTTGTATGAGAACTAAGACATTCTTTTGTATAAGTCATTTCTTGGAGCGTTTGTGAAGTATATAAAATATATGAAAACCTTACAATTTTGGAAACCTACAACAGTTTTACAACGCTGTAGAATTTTAAAAACTTTTATTAAAATTTGATAAGTTTTATTAAAAGTTTGATAAGGTTTACTAAAATTTTAATAATTCTCATTAAAAACTCTTTAATAAGATTTTAGTAACAAATTATTAAAAATATTTTTATGAGTGCACTCATAAAAAAAAATTGATAAATTTTATTAAAAATGTATGAAAAAGTTTAATAAAAGTTTATAAAAATACATCTTGATAACTTTTACTAAAATTTGATAAGGGTTATTAAAAGTTTTGGTTTTACAAAATTGCATTCAAATTTTACAAAACTGTTAAAATTTTAATAATTTTCTTACTAAACTTTAGTAAAAAGTTATTAAGATGTATTTTTATAATTTTTATTGAATTTGTTCATGGATTTTAGTAAAAAGTCATTAAAATTTCTTGGATTATTTTTTTTACAAAAACAGCTTTATAGTATAATTAATTTATAGTATGGAGCTTTTTCAAGTCTTAACTAAAATGCTTTCTCAAAGCTTAAGACTTTGCATGATTTTTGGCACTTAATGTGCCTCATAAGAAACTTATAATTTTATATGACTTTGTATGAGAACTAAGACATTCTTTTGTATAAGTCATTTCTTGGAGCGTTTGTGAAGTATATAAAATATATGAAAACCTTACAATTTTGGAAACCTACAACAGTTTTACAACGCTGTAGAATTTTAAAAACTTTTATTAAAATTTGATAAGTTTTATTAAAAGTTTGATAAGGTTTACTAAAATTTTAATAATTCTCATTAAAAACTCTTTAATAAGATTTTAGTAACAAATTATTAAAAATATTTTTATGAGTGTATCGTTATTTAAAATACTGCTTACATTATGGCGCATTTAATTGATAAGATCCAGTTATTGAATGTTTAAAAGTTGCATAAAATGCAGACATAATAATGTATTGCAGTAAGTTTTCTGCCTGAAATGTTCTTGTTGAGTAAAAACCGGCTTTGCAAGGCACAGATTATAAACATAATATTCATCCACATTATATAAAGTGTCAGAGAAATGTTTCAGAAATGCGTACAGTTTTAAAAATTACAGTCATTGCACTAACTTGCCCGAAGGCTTAAAATCATTAAACACGTGCATTTTCCAAAACGAAAAGATGTAGAGAGAAGATGATAAAGAATGAACGAAAGCAGAGAAAACAAAAATTGTGCATCATCTTATTGCATTCCTTTTTCCCTTTCATTAAATTTCATAGATTTTTTTCGAGATTTATTGGAATCTTTCAATTGTTGACAATAGAAAATGTCGATCAAGATCTTCGTATGAACCATTATAAGAAAATAAGTAGGTAGAAAGAAATAAGATTACAATTGCATTATTACACAGCAGGTAATTTTTTTTGGCAATATTTCACAATCATGGTCATTCTTGCGAAACATCCTACAGAATTTCTACAAAGATTCTTATTGAAATTGCCCTTAAAAGGGACAAAAATTTTTTATGACCTGCAAAAAATGTTTTCAATGATATTTGAAAATTAATGATTTTGAGACCGAAAAACTCGGATTCCTGTATGAATCTTGTCAAAATAATTGCACGTGCAGATACTTGTAGAGCTAAAGAAATCTATAGATTGAACTTCATTTGCTGTTGTTCCTAAACATGATTTAATATTAACATACACAAAAACAAGACTTACGAAGAAAGTCACTAGCTTCCGCATTTGACTTATGTTAGATTACAGTTCTTTTATATATATCACAAAACGAAAATTAGTGTATCGGGTAAACCCAATGTGGATATATTCACACCGTACCATCAAAAGTCTTATGGATAGACCAAGATTTGCTTAGCATAAGTTTGAAGGTATAAAGCTTGGTAAGTTTAAAAGTATATAACCAGCGAGTCAGCGGAGCTTCGCTAAGCATATGTTTGAAGATATAAAGCTAACGAGTCAGCTGAGCATATGTTTGAAGGTTTAAAGCTTAACGAACATTCTTTAAAAGTTTTTTAAAAAAAATTTTCATCCAAAGTTTAATTTTATAAAAATTTTGTTCTTGAAATCTTATTTTTTTGCAGAAGATGTGAATTTTTAAACACAAACTTTTCTTCTGGAACCTTTTATAACCAATTTTGCTTCGTTTTCTCAAAAATGCGAAAAACTGATTTTTCAATCTGAACAAAACCAATAGAATTGCAAAAGAACGTGAACCAACGTAAATACGGTGTAAATATTCCAAATAATTTCAATACAATAAATAAGTCAGGATTAATTATGGAGATCAAGCACTAGTTAATCCGTGTTACTGGATTAAGACCAGCTACTATCAACAAAAAAATTAAGTCATTTTTTTTCTATCAATCATAAGTGATTTTAGCTATTTGAATGCATTTTTGACATTTTAGGAACATTTTGTGCAAATAAAGCAAAATAAATAAAATTAAACCGGTTTAAAATTAATCAAGATTTACATAAATATTTCTTAAACCCACTCAAAACCAAATAAAATGAAATTCTTTTAATGGTCGATTATTCTCTTTTTAATTACCTTTAATTTAAGATATCACACGGAAAAAATGGATTTGAAAATTAAAAGATATTACTGATTTAATTTTTAATGTAAACGCTATGATGTTGCTAAGCTCATCAACAAGGATTGCAAAGAGGCGTTTAACAATGACCTAAAGGAACGCTTAGCAGTCCATGAGCATGAAGGAGCTGCATTGCACCAGTGTTGTGAAGCTATGCAGGCTAGTGCTGAAAAATGTCTTGGCATGAAACAACATACAAAGAATGTCTGGTTTGACAAGGAATGCGTGGAAGCTGTCCAGCGGGTCATCGATGCAAGGAAAGGAAGAGTTACGAGGGCTAAAGCGGATGAGATAAGTATTCTTCAAAAGGAAAGAAGAGGGTGCTACGAAGGAAGAAACGAGCTCACGATCTCAAAGTGATCTCTAATGTCCACGAAGCACACAGCATGAATGAGTTCAGGAAGTTCTATAAGGCCATCAATGACGCTAAGAAATCTTTCCATGCGAGAGTTTCTGTGTGTAGGAGAAAAGATGGAAGTCTTGTGTGTGATAATGATGGAGTCCTGGATAGGTGAAAGGAGCATTTTTGTGAACTTCTCAATGATGGAGCGGAAGGAGTTATCTCGCATGTTAGACATCCTTACGAGAAAGATGATGGGAAGGAATTTGATCCTCCATCATTGGACGAGATAGCAGCATCTATCAGCGGCCTGAAGAACAATAAGGCACCAGGTCTGGATGGCTTACCTGCAGAACTTTTCAAGACTGGATGTGAAGAATTAGTTATTACTCTTCACCAGCTGATTGAGCGTGTGTGGATGGAAGAGAAGCTACCTGATGAATGGATGATCGGTGTAATTTGCCCGATTTCAAGAAAGGATGTAAGATATCATGCCCGAACTACCGAAGGATTTCTCTTCTCCCTTCGGCTTATAAAGTGCTCTCAAAGATTCTATCCTCAAGACTTGAGCCACTTACAGAAGCTTTCCTGAGTGAATATCAAGCAGATTTTAGACGGCAGCGATCTACATCTGACCAACTTTTCAGTATTCGGCAAATCGTGCAGAAGAGCTATGAGATGAATGTAGAAACACATCATCTATGTATTGACTTCAAGGCAGCATATGACTTAATAGATCGAGAAGGGCTGTGGAATATCATGGCGGAGTTTCATTTCCCGCATAGAATGATAAGATT